AAAGACAGAAATACGGAATCAACGCAAACATAAACCTGACATTTCAAAATGACATACAAAGAGTATTAAAATATCTCAGAAACATAAACAACTATACACATATCTAACGAAAAGAAAAATAGAAGAAGAAGAAGAAGAAGAAGAAGAATTCCTCTAGTGTGTATTAACGGTTTATCTTAATAATATTATCAGTCCAGATTTGAAATATTGATCAAAAAAACTACACCACCCACCTGCATTCATTGCAATAACCATCCATTAACAATAATCTACATACTGCACGAATGCCACACCACAGAAACCCAAAGACAGAAATACGGAATCAACGCAAACATAAACCTGACTTCTCAAAATGACATACAAAGAGTATTAAAATATCTCAGAAACATAAACAACTATACACCTGTCTAATGAAAAGAAAACTAGAAGAAGAAGAAGAAAAATTCTTCTAGCGTGTATTAACGGTTTATCTGGCTTAATAATATTATCTGTCCAGGTTTGAAATATTGATCAAAAAAACTATACCACCCACCTGCACTCATTGCAAATAACCATCCATTAACAGTAACCCACATACTGCACGAATGTCACACCACAGAAACCCAAAAGCAGAAATACGGAATCAACGCAGACATAAACCTGACATCTCAAAATGACATACAAAGAGTATTAAAATATCTCAGAAACATAAACAACTATATACATGTCTAACGAAAAGAAAAATAGAAGAAGAAGAAGAATTCCTCTAGCGTGTATTAACGGTTTATCTGGCTTAATAATATTATCAGTCCAGATTTGAAATATTGATCAAAAAAACTACACCACCCACCTGCACTCATTGTAATAACCATCTATTAACAGTAACCCACATACTGCACGAATGCCACACCACAGAAACCCAAAGACAGAAATACAGAATCAACGCAGACATAAACCTGACTTTTCAAAATGACATACAAAGAGTATTAAAATATCTCAGAAACATAAACAACTATACACATATCTAATGGCACCGTCGTTGCTAATGACCTCGCTACCGATGCGACATTAAAGAAAAATAGAAGAAGAAGAAGAAAAAGAATTCCTCTAGTGTGTATTAACGGTTTATCTGGCTTAATAATATTATCAGTCCAGATTTGAAATATTGATCTCTAAGCTATCTGATCTCCTCCGCGTATCGCCCTGGGAAACATTTATCCTGAACGTTTATTTCAGACGGCAGTCTGCGTGAAACGTGGAATTCGACGCAAACGTAGACGGGTGAAGTAATATGAAAAGGGTGAAGGTCCCGGGTGATGTTCCACACGGCGGATGTAGCAGCGCCGGTGTCGCAATTCGTTGGAAATAGCTAAAATCGAGACGATGGTTCCGACGCGAAGCTGGACGCAACGACGAAACGTTCTAGCAAGCACTGGCCTATTTTCTCGATCAGGCCTATATTTAGGTTCTCATTCTCGAGTGAATCATGAACAGCTTTGCAGCCAGCCTCCGGCTGATTCGACATAGAGAAGAAATATATTGGTAGATGATAGATATTTATCACGACGGTCAGAGAATATTCTTTCTCTTTCCTCGCTCTTGCGAAATGTCGGGCAATAGTGGAACTTGGAAGTTTCCACGGGTTTCCCTGTATTTGACACTTTGCTGTTTTCAGCAGCGGAACTATCAAATCAAGTTGAAATGACGGGTATTGGATTTTTCTCATCTTGTCAATATATAAATAAGTGTCGGTGGTAATGGTATGGTTATGTATAATAAATATATATTAAATGTATATTTAAGAAATATATAATATATTTATTGAAATTAGTCATTTGAGTATATTTGATTTAATTACTGAATTACCAAACGACCGGTATCGGTTATTTATTTTCACAATTATTGATAATTATTTATAATTACGGGATATATATTACTTTAATTCTGACTATATTGTAGTTTGATTAAATACTGAAACTAATCAAACTGAATTTACATTTATACCCATTTAAGAGAAGATTCGGTAATTATGAAATTTTCAATCTCAGCTTCTAACAAGTAAGAAAATATAATTAAACAAAATATCTAAATATCTAAAGTATATAAAAATTCAATAAAAATGTCAAAGTATTTATTTTATACGCCGTAAAATCGTATAACACAACGAGTCGTATCTTTGCGTCTATTTAGTTAAGATATTTCGAACTTTTTACACGACGGGGCTAAAAATTCCACGCGAAAGTTTATGTGGCACGAAAAAAGGCATGAAAATTTACGACAGTAGGAATGCTTATAGCGTTAGGTAATAATTTTGTGTTCTAGTTGTAACGATAACCTACGACCCACGCGAAAGCCAACAAACTTATCTCTCGGCATTTCCACTTTATTGGCAAGAAACCAATCCGCTTCTCATCTATCGATTCAGCATATAACCCCTCGCGGTATCTCGTTCCCCGTTTCATTATCTTTTATGGGATTTAAACGATTCAAGAACCTTTTTTTCAATCAACCTCGAATCAATTTCTTTGCCGATGCCTCTGAAAATGAACTTTCACATGATTCGAATTTATATCCTTCGCTATTTAGTTTGTCACGTCTGTGTTGCTTGTCTATCTCTTTATTTGTATTATATCGAAATAAATTTTTACACGAATAGAAATGATTTTGATTAAGTAAGTAACTGACGTTATACTGTCGAAATAGAACGTAATTTATATTTGCATTGCACTTTATATCGAGATAAATTTTTATACAGAAACAAATGTTATTTCATGCGAAACAAATTTAAGTACTACTCGACATAAACACCTGATGAATGTAAAGAAAGTCATTGATGTATTGTTGAATAGTTTAGTAATTGGAAATTATGTTTCAATTCTAGAAATAGAAATATATTTCATTCATAGAAAAATGCACAAGATGTAAAATTAGAAATAAACAATTCGTTTACTTGTTATTTTTAAATTATTAGTGAAATTGTGAATTTTTTATTTTTCGATATTTATAAAATGTTTTTCGAAATTTGTTTAATCTACGTTATATTTTAACATCATTTGTGTCGATGTATTATTACTATGTTCAAAGAAAATTTTCTACGATCGAGGAAAAATAATTACGTATATATCTATTTAAAAAATAAAAATTTATATTGTTTAATTTCTATATCTTGTGTCTCTATAACGTTAATATTATTCATAAGTTGCACAACATAAAAAAAAAATGTTTTTATCGTACATTTTGTAATGCATAATCGTATTAGTCGAATCAAATTGATGTAGCTTATCGACCAACTTCGATTTTTTTTAATATACATTCATGTTTCGTAGTACTTTTAGCAGAGTGAATTTAATACCATTTTGAATATTTTTCATTACTTCCATACTACCATATTTTTAAATAAAAGTTATATATACAAGTTAATATAAAAGTTATATATAAAAGTTATATATAGTACTACCATATTGTTAAATAAAAGTTAATGTATAATATATATAATTTAGAAGTAATTAAAACCTAATATACCCTGAAAATAGAACAATCTTTTTTAAAACAAAATTTTGTAAAAAGAAATCTTGTTATTCCGTTTGTCCCTATAAATTCCTTAAAATTAAACTAAGTATATATAAAGTTTTAGATAAATAAAACCTGCTAGTCAAATATACGCAGCCCTCAAATAATGCAGCAACTATTTTGATCATAGTTGAAATACGTCAAGTGTTAAAGCGTCAATAATTGACATACATATTTGTTCATACATCACACGTTATTTTATAGTTCGATCGATTAACGCTGACTTTGAACATAAGAGATATCTCCCCCCCCCCCCCCTACATCATTTGCAATCTGATCAAAGTAACAGATTTTTATTATCGTTTTAAATTGTTTTATTATCACGTTATAAATTGTTTGTTGTAATCTCATCGAAGTACTATATCAATTCGAGCTCGATGTTTGAACAAAATTTAAAATATATATGAAGGGTAGAATATCTTCGACTCAGCGAACGTTTTAATTGTCGTTAAATAAATATCGCTTCGCACATTTTTTTCTATTTCTTCAAATTCAATTTTAATCTATAGTCCATTATATTTCTAATATCTATAGTCTATTATATTTCAACTATATAATAGTATATTTCGTCTATATAATATTATACTTCTAATATTTATAGTCTATTATATTTCAACGATTTAACAAAATTGCACATTACCATCGCTAATTAGAACGAATATATAAAGTGAACCGAGACGTAACTATTAACTAACTAGTGAAGAAGATAAAAATATATTTTCGAGGACGGGAGTTCTGTATAATATATTTATATATTATATAATATTATACTTCTAATATCTATAGTCTATTATATTTCAACGATTCAACAAAACTGCACATTACCATCGCTATTACCAACGAATATATAAAGTGAACCGAGAACTAACTACTAACTAACTAGTGAAGAAGATAAAAATATATTTTCGAGGACGGGAGTTCTGTACGAAAAAATTTACTATCTCTCGGAAACTGCTTTTCCAAGTTATGGCGTAGCTTGTCTGATAAATCTTTTGCAAACGGAGCTGCCAATGAAAAATACAACCAAAACGGGAAAAAAAGATACAACGAAAGTAGTATCTTTTCAGAATCAACTGAAAATACGACGAGAAAAAAAGAAAGAGAGAGAGAGAGAGAGAGAGAGAGAGAGAGAGAGAAAGAGAGAAAGAAAGAGAGAAAGAGAGATAGAAAGAGAAAAGAAAAATTATTATTCGTTGACAATGAGTAATCGTTAGTGACGAGCAATACGACAAGCAATACGGGACACCTACGACAATGCAATCAACGACGTGCGTCCACGAACGTGCGTTAGTGATTGTTATATGTATCCAATATCCGTCACGCCGTTCGTCTCTCTCAAAATCCAAATCCAGGCGGTCAACACTCGGAACACTCGATACGTCTCAATTGGGCAGCAAATCGAAAAACAACGACGAGGTAGCACAGCAATCCTCGATTCGGCGGGGACTCACCGTCGTCGAACGTTGCGGACATTTTGAGGAACTCTTGCAGATGCTTCGGCAATTTTTTCGCGTCCTCGAACACCTTCCCGTCGATCAGGCATTTCGCCTTTACCACATGTTCCTGCCTTCTTCCCTCGCTTCTACACGTAGCGTCGCCTTCCTTGTCGCTCTCGCTCTCGTCCAACTTAATCCCGAATTTGTTCAATCTGTTCCTCGCCTTCTCGATGAACTCCCTCTCGACGGCGTTCATGCCGCTCTTGGCACGACAATTATCACCCGCCCGTTGAATGTCCTCGTGCGTGCTGATCTTCACCACCTTGTGATGCTTCCGTTCCTCCCGCTCCATAACCTTGTGCACGTACTCGTCGTACATCTTCCGTCGAAACGCCTCGCCGTTCACCACCACCGCGGAAGCGTTTGGTTTCTCCTTCGTTTCGACGCAAGCCCTCCGCCCGTCAGACGCGAGCACTCGAGAGCACGTGTTTTCATTGCGAGAACGACGCTCGTCCTTGGCCGACGATTTTCCACGAGAGCCGTTCTCTCGCCTCGTCTTCTCGGCGACTTTCTCCTCCCCCCTCTTGGTAATCACGGAATGTTGTTCCACGTGCTCGATCTCCTCGCACGACTCTTCCTCGCGGAGACCGTTCTCGTGACGCACCTTCCTTGAGAAGTCCCTGCGACCGTGTTTGTCGATCGTCTCCGAACGACCCTTCTCCACGTTTTCCGACCTCTCTTGCCAGCTCTGGCTTTCCACCCGGGAATCGTCGTCCTTGGATCGGTCTCCAGAAACGTTTCCCCCAGCCGGATCGAAAGGTTTATCCGGGGCGGTGGCCCTCCTCTTTCGCTCATCCTCGCGTTGCCTCGCGTCAGCCTGGAATTCCTCGAACGCCTCCTTCTCCTCCTCTTCGGCTAATATCACGTTCTTCAACTGATTCTCCAGCAGCTCGATGTACTTCAACTGCTGGGCAAAGTACTCCTGCGACAGTGAATACTTCCCAAGACTTTCCAATCGATCCTCCGCCTCGTTTTGCAATTTCTTCAGATTCTGCATGATCTCCGTGGCCGCCACGTGTTTCGCATCCTCCTCCTCCTCCTCTTCCTCTTCCTTATTCTTGTATCGTCGTGGCTCCAGGTGACTCCTCGGTGGATTCTTATCGAAGATGCTCGTCGTGTCGATGCACGATTTGTCCACGTTGACCACGCGTTTCACCCGCGGTGGCACTTCCACTCTGTCGTCGATCAACGCTGGATTCACGTTGTAACGTGAGTCGACCGCTCTACGCGTTGGCGGTGTCTTCTTGCCAGCGGTGTCTGGCGTCGAGGCGATCGAGTTGTCGATTATAGCGCTGTTAAACGTGATCGGGCTCCTGTTGAAAGGCGTGGAGCTTCTAGCCGGTGGCTCCGGCCTGTCCGGTGGACTCGCGACCGAGCCAGCGGTGATAAAGTGAACTGGCGTTGCTCGTTTCCCACCGATACTCTCTCTCATTGGTTGTTTCGCAACCTCCGCGCGAACGCTGCCACGAATTCGTCTCTTATCAAACTCTCGTCCCTCAGCCGACGGTTCTATTAATAAATCATCGGAGAGCGATCTGTCGTACATCGGCTCGCGTCTCGCCAGGTTCAACCAGTCGCACAACCGAGTGACTTTGAGCCGCTCGCGACCCTTGTCGACCGTGTTCGACCTCGCGTGTGACGATCTAGAGTCGGAACGACTCGACTCGTCGAACTTCACTCTCGTCTCGTTCCGCGACTTTGGCCTCGCGCTACGCGAACGTTTCGAACTGTCGGAATTTTCCTTGATAATCGCCAACAGTCTACTCGTCGTGGTCGACTTTCGGTCGATCTGTTTCGCGTGGTCGTCGCCAACGGGCAGCAACTCGACTCGATACTTGGGAACGGGTACTCGCCGTGGCGGTTCCTCGTCGAAGTAGCTGTGCCTGTTCAGGAACTTGCTGTGCAGATCCAGCAAATCGTCGGCGCTCGTTTTTATCGTGGTTTTCTGCTGCGACGGTGACAAACAGACGAGCAACCTCGGGTCCTTGGTCGTCGACAAACCGACCCACGTTCCCGAGCTGTCTCTGGCCATGCTCGGATCGCGTCGCTCCCTCTGTTCTAATTGCTCTGATTTACCCTGGTCTGAAACAGCGGTTTCGCGCGCGTCAGGACGCTTTGATCCCGGCGAAGCTGTCGTTAGTCTAGCTCTTTCAGCCAGCCGTTCGTTCACTCCATGCGTGTTTAATGGAACGCCTCTAATCTCATCGCTCGTTACGTTGTTAGCAAACACCGGGACGGATCGCAGGCTTTCGAAGACGTCGAACTCGGGCACCGTGATCTCGTTGATCACGTAAAGGCCGTACGGCATCGACAAGATTCTCTTTATGCAAAGGTCTTTCAGGGAGCCTGGCCCGTTGACAGCCTCATCCTCCCGATCGTTCGCGTAATTCGTCCCGCTCTCGACAGGCACGTAATACAAATCCTCGACGGGCGAATATGGTATAGGTTCAGGCGTCACCGGGACCTCGTCGTGCCCGTTGGTCGCGCCATGCAAAGACTCGTCTCCTTTCAGAATGGGAAGTTTGCTTTTCAAGCTCGACGACTCGACCCTCTCCTCCGACTGCCGCTTCAGCTCGCTCTTCCTCGCTTCTTCCGCTATTATCGAGTAAACATCCGCCTGCCAGGCGTCCATCGGACTGTACCTCACCGTGCTCAAGGTTGTCGCGCTGCTGGACGAGTCGTGGACCTGGCAATCCGTCTCGAGCTTCTCCTTATCCGTGGAAAGTTCGCGCTGCGTATTTAGAATAGCGTCCAACATCTTGGACGGGCTCTCGCAGGATTTACGCGTGTAAGACAGCGGCTCGTCGTTGTCGGCCAAAGTGGAACACTTGTATATCTCCTCGAACTCATCCTCGCTGGTCGTCAACTCTCTCGTGTCTTTCGAGCTTTCAACTTCGCCGTCGCGCGACCTCCTCTCCTCCGTTTCGGTCGTCCTCGTGCTCGTTGTTGACGCTTCGCTCTTGATTACCTTCTCGCGAGCATGATGCAACGTCTGTCTAACCCTCCCTTCTCCCAACGTTCCTCCAATCTTGCCAGATTTTGAGACTGTCGTCCGGTCCGCGCCGGGTTCCATAACCACTTTCACTATTCGCTCGACCGGCGGCACACGAGCCACGAATTGTTTAGACGACTCGGACACCGGCGATTTTTCGCGCGTCTCTCTTCGATCCGAGTGGCCGCGCGTTATTTCAGGAGTTGCTCCATTGCCAAGCCCGACGCCGTTCTCAACGTAATTGCGCAATTCGGCGATGCTGTCACTCTCGGGACAAGCGCCCCTCCCGTACGCCCTTAGATCATCGATTATCTTGCGTACGTTCGCGGGCAGAGCCGTGTGGTCCACGTTGCTCAAGGCGTCGCGAATATTTTCGACGGTCGCGTCACCGCGCGATATTAACGTCAATAGTGTCCCCAGTCTGCCAATGTTTGCCCTCGCCTCCGAAGGATCTACGCCGCGAGGTTGCGCGAACGATGATGCATCGGTTGCGGCGAGGTTTCCTTTCGGAAGAGGTGGACGAGTGGGCGGATCGTCAAACTCTGCAGCTTCTTTTCTACGACGAAACGAAGGTGGGGAATAGATTGTTTTGTCCTGAAGATCGACGCTCGACAGGCTGGAGGATCGTTTCGGCGGTGCCGGAGGACGAGGTTTCTCTTTCGTCACCCTGTCGACACCGTTTACTTGAGATTCTACGATTTTCGAACGCTCACACTCTGCGGAGAAGGACCTCACCGTCGATGACTCAGTGCTTGCAAATTTCGTTACACGTGATTCAGAGATATTAATGTCCGCTGGCTTGGCAAATCTTTCATTTCGTACGTTCTCTCTGGATCCCGACGATCCTTGACTGGCTTCCGTAGGTTTCGTTTCAATCTCCTGCGACGATTTTTCGTCGACTTTTGCTTCGGATTTCGCTTCTTTTGCCAGTGACGAGTCTTCGTCGAGCACCGTACGTTTCGTTTCTTCCTCTCGAAGCGACTCTTCGTCGACTTTTGCTGATTTTGTCTCTCTCTCTTGCACCGATTCTTCCTTGCTTTCTGTAGACTTTGATTCTCTTTCTTTCCACGATTCTCCAACGACTTCTTCCTCTTGAATCAATTCCTCATCGATTTTTGCCGATTCTTCCCTTTTCAGTGATTCCTCCTTGATTTCTACAGATTTCCTTTCATTTTCTTGCGATGATTCTTTATCAACTGCCGTAGGCTTCGTTCCCGTTTCTTCGAGCAATTTTGCCGACTTTGTTTCACTCTCTACTGGTAGCTTTTCCTTGATTTCTCTAGATTTTGTTTCACTTTCGTGCAGTGAGTCTTCTTCAACTTTTGCAGATTTTATTTCATTTTCACCGTTCTCTTCGGATTTCGTTTCACTTTCGCGTGATAATTCCTCGTGCGACGATTCACCGCTAATTTCCGCAGATTTTGCGGGATTTTCATTTTCGATCGCCTCGGGATTTCCTAAATCCAATTCTTCTTCCTTTACAGTCTCTTCAATTAACGTCTCGTTTGTCAAAGTTGTACTCTCACCATTCGTTCCCGATCGTTCAATCTTCACTTCTGCGGACATTACGTCTGAAGGATCTTGATTTCTCTCCGATTCTAATTTTTCTTCCCCGTTCTCTCGGATCTCGATTATCGTGCAACGTTCGCTGACGTTCGAACTCTCGGAGACGTCCGATTGCTTCAACTGTTCCGTCGAAGCGGCGTCGTCTCGAACAAGTGCCACCTTTTCTTCACTGCCTTCCATCGACTCAACATCGTCAATCGCGCTTTCGTCTAATTTACTTGCGTGTTTGGTTAATATTCGTCCGTTCGTTTCACCTTTCGTATTCAACTCGGAATCACTTCGGCTTCCACCACTGCCATTGCTCGTTATCAATACTTCACTTTCCACTTCTTCGACCTCTCCAACGTTGTCTCCTCCCTCTGTGCTTCCCTCCAGCTCCTCTATTTTAAATGATCCACTACCCTCGACCGATTCATCCTCAACGATAACCCCATCTTTAACGTTAACATCCTCTCCTTCTCTCTCCGAATCTCGCGTATCGTCGCTCTCTTTCAAATTCAAATTCTCCACCCCCGAACCCTCTTCGCCAATCAGCCTCGATTCTCCCATCGTTTCTCTGCTTTCACACTCGGTTTCCGCTCCGTCCGGCTTTACAGTCTCCTCCGCGTCTCTCCCAGACATTTCTTCCTCCGCGTCTATCACATTTATCTTCACTCTGTGCTCTACCCTCACCTCCTGTCTCGCCTCTTCAAAGTTGGAAGAACGCCTCTCTCGCCGGTACTTGCCGATCTCCTCGTTAATAAAATCCCTGATGTGCTGCTCCTCGTCCTCCGACAGTTTCTCGCCCTCCTCTTGAATGATGTCCAAGAACCTGTTAGCCGCCTGGCAGTGCGCGTGCTGCGCCTCGAAAGCGGCGCGTTTCCTCCTTTCCGACTTCTTGCGCGGCGAGCCACTGATCCGGCCGCGGCCTGTCGCCGCTCTCGCCAATTCCTCCACGTCCTCCGCGTATGTCGGCAATTTTAGACCCTCGATGAAGCTCCGCAGCTTCCTCTCCACCTCGCGCGGCATCACGCTGTCCCACGCGTGTCTCGCCTCCGCAGGAGCTCGCGTCGACGCGCCGCCCTCGCCGAAATACGGCTCGAAACCCGCCCGAGACCACGTCCTTTCCCTTTCAACGTCCGACTCCATTTCGACGATCACCGGTCTCGCGTTATCGGTCTCCACCGTGTCGCAGTCGCTGACGTCGCGGATCTGCAGCCTCTCGTTGCTTCCAGCCAACGAGGGCTCCTCGTTCGAGTCGTTTCTCTTATCAGCTCTGATTGCTGCGGGAGAGAACGAGTCCACCGGCTCGGAAATGGTCACGATAGCCTCGTTCCTCGTTATCTCGGCCTTGCTGCCACTCTCCACGATACCAACACCGGGAATGTGATCGATCTTTGCCTCCAACGGCGAGCTACTGATCGTCGTGATCCTCATGATCTTGATGCCCGGCTGCACAATGCCCATCTCGATTCTACACTTCTCCTGAGACCTCTGAGAAACTCTTGCCACCTCCTTCGTGGCGATGGCGTTCCTCTCATTGTCCTCGACACTCTCCGGCACTTTCCGATCGTGAGTTTCGCCTCGTCCCTGCACGTCTGCGTTCCCCGTGTCCTCGGAGTCGTTCGTCTTCGCGTCTCCCTCGGTCACCTCCTCCTCGCGCTCAATGTCGATACTCTCTGGACTTTCGACGATGGTCTCGTTGTCGCTCGTAACTCTGCCGGGTGTCCGCTGTCTCTGAACGCGTCTTTTGTTGTTCCGACCCTTGCGACTCCTGCGATTTCGCGCGCCGTGCGGCATGCTAGCTTCTTCGGTGTCTGTCGCGTACTCCAAGGATTCGGTGAATCCTATGGGATCGCAGAATCGGCCAGAGCCTCTCTCTTTAATGTTTTCTCTCTAGTTTCTTCGTCCTTGTGGCGTGTGTCTTTTGTCGATTCTTATGATCTTGATCCTTTTTTTTTTTTTTTTTTTTACGAATCGCGGGATTAAAGCGGGACTAAAGCGTTCGAGAAGATAGGTCGTGATTTACTTCAAAAAGGATCGACCGATGTATCGACAATACAAGGCGAAAAAGAAAACATCCGGTTCCTTTTCTTTTCTTTTCTTTTTTTTTTTTTAACTAGAGAATGACGCGAGTAGAAACAAGTGAAGCAAAGTAACGCGTGTGTGCTATAATTGCTACCTTGGTCCGATTGTTAATAGTAGGGGGAGAAGTCGAGAAGAAAATGAAGCCTCGAAATCGACAATTCTCTGACCGACACGAAATCTCTTTCAAAAATCAGAGCAACTATCATTATGTTCTATTTATTACTGCGATGAGATGATTGTGGTATGAAACTAAATTAACAATCTGAATCTATGTTGTATTATTGATATTGAACTATAAATGGAAAGGGCTGTAATTAAATTACCGAGTAACATGGTATTATAAGTATTAATATATTGTGATGAAATTATCAGCGTACAAAACTAAATTAATAAACGAAGCTGCGTTATTGAAATATAGGTATAAATTATTGAAATACAAAACTGTAATTAAATTGACATGTATCAATATATCGTGACAGAATTATTGAAATATAAAACTAAATCAACAATCTAAACGATATTTATTGTGGAAGTTTATTGAATAATATAACGTTACAATAATGTTGAATATATTCAAGTACGAAATGGCGAATAATCGTATTGTCAATCTGTATTGTCACATTTGAAAAAGAATTTAACGAACTGCCACGATATCTCATCTATTTCGCGACTTGATTCACGCCGCCGAATTTTTCAGATGACGATGGTTAGTAGTCGAAACGATATTTAATAATCGTATTCGCGCGAGAAAGTGATTTTAATGCTTGACATTTACGCATGTTTCCGTGAATGAGACGAGAACAGCGAATGCACATGTGCACGGTGAACAAAGAAATGATACGTTGTCTTGCGATCGTGCAACAAGCATGACTCCATATGTCATATCAACATTCCAAAGTGATATAGTGGCTATCGATTAAAAAAGAAACGAGAGTGAATAACGATACTCACTTTTCTTGGTTTCGTCTCGTTGCTGGATCAAGGAACTCTTCGGGCCACCGTTTTGATTTGCGTAGCTATGGTCAGGTTTTGCGTCATCTGGAAAATCAAACACGAATATTGTAAAGCATCAGCCAATTATTACAAACTTTTATACTTGTATCGTATATTTTTATTTCTTGGTTGAGCTTTGTTATACATATTTCCTTCCAAGTGAAAAATTTAAATTAATTTACATTCGAGGATTTCTCAAATAATTTTTCGGATATTTCCTTGATTTTTAATATTTTTTTATACTTTCATAATTGTTTCAAAACGTAGATTGTCCTTTGAATTATTCGCCAAAGAATATCAGAATTACCTGGTGCAATGTTTAAAATCAACTTAATTGAAATTGTTTCTGAATTAGAAGTTTAATAAAAATCAATGAAACCGTCTGCCACTAAATTTAATACTTTAATATTAATTAATTATTTAAATTAATATTAAATTAATATTATATTAATATTAATATTAAATTATTAAAATTATAATTAATTTTAAATAGTAATATTAAAATTAATATTAAAATAAATATTAATATTTAAATTAATATTAATTATTAATTTAATATTATTTAATACTTTAATATTAACTCCTTTTGTATGAGAATTTAATCAATTTGGAATTATAAAAGTAGTGTCGGTGATTGACGAAACCTGTCAATGTCTTTATTTATTATAGAATGTACATTTATAATTATAGAATATTTTCAAACTACATTTTCTACATAAATTTATCAATCTACTAATGGTAAATACAAAACCATTTACTTTCTTTTGCACACGAAATTGAAGATCGACAAACGCGTATATTTTTGAGAAACGAATAAAAAGAATAATGAACTTGTACCGATAATAAACGAATATTTTAGCAAGATTATCATTCGTTTTCTTGACAATTATCTTCAATAGAAATGAAAAAATAAATAAATAAATAAATACACAGTCGACAACCTATCAACAAGAACTTTTCATCTACGCAAAATTAAAACAGACAAATTTTTTTCATATTTAAGCAATAACTCTCGAGCCCCAAATCAAACAAACATCTGCATTTTCAATGCTCTCGTACAATTATTTTCAAACAAACAAGTGTCTACAGTTGCAACGCAGGTACAACGACTCATCAAAAAATATCAAAAATACATGCGCGATATCAACCATTCAAAGTAATCAGTCAAACCCGTCTTTCCCAGTTAACAGGACGCGCGCGACCCGATCGATCCACGACGACGTTGCTCCGAATATTCACGGAATAATAGGACGTGCCAGGGAACACCTGACGATAAGTAAAATTATTAGAACAGAGCGGTTGAACCGACCTGATCCACGCGAGCCTCCATGAACAATCGCGCTAGATTCGCGTGTTTCGACGCCGCTGACAGTCGCTTATGAATTCCGAATTAAACGTCAACGGGCCACAAATCAGCGGCATGGCCTGTAGGGTCCATGAATCGCGGGAATGAACTGAGCGCGAACAGATCCGCCACCCGTGAAACACGCTCGTACGATCCCCACCCACGCTTGCGATTCTCTGTTCGCGCGTGTACACATAACGTGTGTATTGTTTATACACATGCTTACGAACATCAGGGCTTCTCAAACCGATCTCCACTTTCTTTCGAAAATTCTAGCCTGCTGTTGCACGCCATTTAGCCGTGTTTGCTTGTTGGCACGATCTTCCTCGCTCATTTTAAATTGCTCCGAATTCGAATTTTATATAATTCGAGCGACCATCTTTCTAAAAGAAATTCCGCGAGACACGCAAGAATCCGGCGAGAATTTTCTATCAGAATTCTATTTGCTGCCGGCCAGAAGAATTTGAGAAACGCTGTCGCAGATGCGGTGTTCTGCGTTCTACACACGATTTCACGTTTTACGCTTGCGCAGCCAGTCCTTCTGAATGACGTTTTTACGTCAAACGTACGCGCATGCATATATGTATGCACGCGCGTTGCATTTAAATACACCGCGCCTCGTCTGTGGCGACGTGCACTTACACATTGCGCAACCTTTGCAGGCACTCTGACACCCGGTCGGAACACAAGTTGCGTGCGTGTATACCACCACCCCCCTCGCCGCCCATCGCGCGCGAGCCTCATGAATAGTACCACTTCCGAGTTGAACTTCCTTCCGAGTAAACAATGCCGGCCGAACGACTACTATGCTCCTACGAGCGCACCCATCATCCATTTTCCACACTTTTCATTACATCACGCGTGACACACACGACGACGAATTCGAGCTCCCAATGGAAATCGAATCGATCGTTCGATTTTCAGTACGTTGATCCCACTAAGTTTTGTTACAAGCAGGTAAGTAGCCTGAGAGGGAGAAGAGAAAGAGCACAGGATTTTTAGTAAAATCTTTAATTTTAATAAAATTTTAATTTTAGTAAAATTTTTAAAGTAAAATCTGCCGGTTACGGTAAGATTTATATTGTTGTTAAATTGGTTGCTTTCTGGTGTCGAAATCGTTGCACTAGAAACGCTTATGTGAACTTGGAACAAATAATTTATATAACTGTATATAATTGTATTACTGATATGTATAATATATACTAATTTATATAATTATATAAATCAGTATATATTATATATATATACTATGTATAGTTATTATTAGTAATATTTATATATTATATTATAGTATATAATTTTATATATACTAATTTATATATATTTACATACAAATAATTTATATAACTGTATATAATTGTATTACTAATATATATAATATATGCTAATTTATATAATTGTATATAATTATATAAATCAGTATATATTATATATATACTATGTATAGTTACTATTAGTAATACTTATATATTATATTATATAATTTTATATATACTAATTTATATATATTTACATACAAATAATTTATATAATTTATATAATTAAATAAGGAGCCTCCGCTCTGCCAGTGATTTTTCATTTTTAATTCAGATTCGGATAAATGGATTCAAGCAACGAGAGTTTATTTAATCGGGTATTGGTTAAAATTTGATTGAAATAAATGGAATTTATGCAACTGGAGTTCTACTATACTGACAATGAAAGTCAAGACTTCGTCAGTTTTTGATCTTTTCTCTTTAGAAGAACATCTATCTTTAGCTTGTATTTGAAAAGTTGAAATTTGTTCCACAAAGTGTTCATCATATTATACAACTATATTTTGCAATTAAGATTGCTTTTCAAACAAAATAATTTCAAGCTAATTTCTTCAACAATAAAATGTTTTTGTTAATCTAGACTGTATTTGCAAATAAATAGTCTAGCGTATTTAATTTGTGCTTGAAAAATAAAAAGATCTTTTTTACAGAGTATTCATCACACACTGTTGCATCATTTAAATTGTACAACTCGTGATTAAGTTTCTCTCTGAAACAAAATATTCTCTCTAGAAAGATGATAAATGTAACCTGTTGATGAAATAAAGATTTTGTCAACAAAAGTTCAGTTCTATTCATTTGTCAGGGAACATTTCCACAAGAAATAGCTTTTACAAAAATTATTTTTAGAGAACCAGTCAATTTCCACTCTCAAGATAAGCCAGAATAGAGATTGCATTTTTATGGTATCATATCCTGGATCTCATTTTTAACTAGTAAAAGTCATTTTGATGTGAGAGATATAAAAACTGGCTGTTTCGATATTATATTATCAAAATAAAAATTTACGTTCACACTGAAATTTCTTTGTCTCTAAAGCATAGCGTTAACATACAGCTTCAATGTTAAATTTTTAATCTATTAAGGGATTCATATACGGGTATGCCATAATCTATATAATACGCGATACAATTAGGATTTACTGATAGATTAGCAATAATATTGCACAATAGTTCACTAATTAATCACATTGGCGAATCGGACTGAGTTAAGAAGTAACGAGATATGAATTATAGATGTGGAACAATTTTTAATAAGAAATGAACTATAATAAACATAACTATTATAGATACTATAACTATATGAAATATTTGTAAATTATTTTTAAAGAATTTAAAGAATTAAAAAGCTCGTAATATCGATTGACAATACAATTTTTACGATAAACTATTTAGATGAACTATTTTCCTTCTTTTTCTATTACACAAGGTTTTATTAATTACTATGTATTTTGTATCATGACCAGTCACACACGTATCTAATTTTGTATCTAATTAATTTGAACTGACGATTTATAAATAATGATCGAACAACTAGCCGATTAGGTGATTAATATGTGCGCATACACGTTGATAATGGCATAATGATTAATTAACATGCTATTAGTACAGTATTACATGAATCATGTTGTAACCAGTAACAAAAATCGTGCTTTATTTAGACATTTAATTAAGAGAGATATCGTTGCTTTTTATGTTTCAATTTTATTATTACACATACCTACGTATTTTTAATCCACTTGATTGAAGTATGTATATTCTTCTCAAATTATAACAAAAATATATGTGTGTGCAAATTATACTTTGGTAAACTTGTTAAAATGTTGCAACAACTGTTTTTGTATTTTCTTTCTACAATGAAGCACAACTGCAACAATTAAATCAGTTATTTATACCAGAAGTTCGTTTGTTTTAACGATTTGAAACACGAGTCAAAGAATCAAATTCTGCAACAATACTAACAATCCATGCTCCAATAGAAAATTCAATTTGAACTAATTAAAACTGAAGCTTGCTTGTTAATTAGCGACGCGTGCAATAATTTCAAATATCCACTTTTTAAATGCGTATTAAAAGTGTTATTGATGTGGCTAAATAAATCTAATGATCAATTGGGCTGCTTTTAAATTTCGTTAATTAACTAATGAAATTTATATGGAGTTTTATTAATTTTATGTGGCACTTTAAAATGCAAAATTACTAGAATATAAAATATCCAAAGTTTACTTTCTACATTTATTTCGTTTAGCCTTTCATCGTTTTTAATTATATTCGCAAAACGTTGCACAAAATTATCAAATCTGTCAATAATATGAAAGCTAAGTACACGAACAAGGAAAAAAATGTGAACAGAAAATATTTTATCCAAGTATATATTTTCAATTA